GCCATGGAAGTATCATGGAAGTGGAAAATGGTTCCAGGGAGTGTAGGAATGCCCGAGCTTCTAGGAGTGCCTTGAGCAGCTCAAGACGGTGTTTGTGTGTTTTTGGTGGCGGTCATCTTTGAGGAAACAATTCAGGAGGTTTCTGGCTGTCTGATCTGGTGAAGCCTTCTGAGATCCAGGTTCCAAAGGAGGGCGCCTCTTTCAAAGCGAAAGAGGACTGAAGCCCAGGGTGGACAACCCCTTACCATCCAAACACGAAACGAACATCGCAAAACACTTGGCTCAAAATCACGGGGCTTCATTGCCGGTATGGATACGCGCAAATGACGGAGTTCACAAATAGGTGGCTTTCATTGACTCATACCAAGTCCACCGCGACAGAGGGCCCACCCCAAATCTCCCTCAGTGGTCATTGTAGTTGCATCCGGATCGCCTCTCGCGATGTCAGTGCTCACATCCCGTCGCAAAAGCGCGAAAAGCGAGTAACATCTGCGAGGTGTACTTGCATTTCCTGCGGCCAGGGTGGATTGATTGGATTTGATTGGTGCAGCAAACGCACATGGAGCAGCAGTAACATGCGTTTGCCATGACAGAACTGGGAAGTAGATCCCCACCAAGAATGCATTGGAAACCGTTTCTATCTATTAGGAGACCACATATATAATCCTCGAAGAAACATGGAAGCTGTTGAACAAGACCGACCGCCTTGTGAAGGACAATGGCCTTCCCGCGGCCTAATTAAGTTCCTCTCCCCATGATTGAAATGATGATCGGAATTAAATGGTGCACAGAACATCATAGAACTTGAACTGGCCTCACAAAACCCTTGGACATGGATCCTAACGCAAACAATCCTGGAAGTTGTTCCAGGAATGTCCAAAGATCAATTTACCATCTCCCGATCTTCGTGAGATGTCTTGAGTCTTGAGCTCCATGCAGGCACCACCCATCTACGGGAACACCATGGGAAAAACACCACAAGTGGTCAGGTCAGGAAGAACACACCCGCAACCTTGCGCCGACAGTGGTCCGTCCTGGTTCTCCATGTCCACTGTCCAGCAGCACCCTGGCAGCTTCTTGCTCATGCCGCGCAGGGCTCGATTGACCATCGAGCGCCGGGGGTCGGAGGAATGGTCATATGCCACGTTCTGCGTCGCGTCAAAGATCCACTCGGGAATTTCCACGGTGACGCGCTTGCCCGCCTCGACCAAGTTTGGCGAAGAACGCGGACGGGCGTTTGGCGCGGGGTCGGGCACAGTCGCGCGGGCCGTGCGCGCGGGCTTTTCCATGCGAAGAAGGGATAGCAGTTTTGTGTTGCACTAGTCACTAGCTTGCAATGCTTTTGATGTTGGGCATTGGTTGTCGGTATTGTTTGCATGTCGGTAGCATGTCGATGATGTTACCGCCAATCAGCTGTATTACTAAGCTTGTCTATGGTCAAAATCAACTGGCACGTTTTCCCTTGAGGCGCTAGACATCTTAGACGCAGCTTCACCGTGTGCACCCTCCATATGGCTGGGGCACCTTCACAAAGGGTATCTACAGCATTCGCTCTCCATCTTCGCCCCACGCGGCGTCGGGTCGCCCACGCTGAGCGATGCGGTCTTTCTCGGGTCCCCCACCTCTAGTTGGGGCCGTTGCAGCAGAACCTTCTCGATCAAGTGCCACACGGTCCTCTGATGGAGCCTGAAAAGAACACCACACCGTTCTTTTGTTCCGGGAGATGGGGTCCCCAGCTCTCGGAACAACTCCACTGTGTGTTTTGTGTGCCTTTGTTTGTGTGCAGTGTGCATGTGTTGTCTTTGTTGTGTGTTGTGGTCTTGTTCTATTCCTGCTGAGCGATGCGTCCTCGAAAACAGTTCCTAGACAAATACAGTAGCATAGAACCATGGAATGTATAGCTATCGAAACCCTATTCCCTTCCAAATGTCTAAATAATCGCACGTGAAGGCCAGCAACATTGCAAACAAAAATCATACATGATAAGAATCAGGCCACAAATTACAATTCACACACTTGGGAAAAATGCTCGGAAGGAGCTCGATCTGCAAATTCCAGTAGGTGCGCTGCTAGCCATTAACAGTTATATATATAAATTAAAGCAATAGTGAACGTTGTTGTTTTTGCATGCTGTTGCTGTATCTTGGGGCTATTTGAGGAAATGATACAGGTAAAAGCATGATAACTGATGACTCCACATGACTCCACGATAACCTATGCAGGATTCTTCACTCTCTATCATTGTGAACACATGGGCACTAACTGCAGTTACTTCATCCATTGCCTTGCTCAGCCATGCTCACCGTTCTTGCTTGATGGGGACTTGAAACCCATGCTCTTCTGAACTTCTGAGCTATTCCTAGAAGCAAATTGCATGGAAACCATTGAAAACCTGTATATCAACGAGTGCACTAAACTTGAATGGTGCGCGGCGAGAATAACACATATGCAGTTTCTTCCCTAAGGCCCTCCTTCGAACCGATTTGTTGAAAAACATCCTCTCTGATCACCTGTCACCAAGCAGCTCATCATCGGGTTCTTCGCCTGGGCGAAAATGGCCAAATCAAGTATACAAACATACCCAAGCACTCCATGGGACTGCCATATATGCCTACATTGGGGTGGTTTGGGGGGTCAATGTAGGCATACATGGCAGTCCCATGGAGTGTTTGGGAAACATAGACTTTGGAAGTTGAGACGAGACCCGATTGTTCGAGTCCACTTGGTGTGACACGGGGCTCCCGCGCTGCGCCGGCGGATTTTTTCACCGATTTTGGCCCAGCTGTAGAATCCCAAATGCTGCAGTACGACTATATTGTTTTTTTCCCCAACACCTCTTGAACACATGTTCAGCCATGGATTGTTTCCGAGCCGGGAATAGGTTTACGATCTCCAATGACACCTGAGTCTGAGTGAAAGAACTTGATGGGCAACCCATCCAATTCAATATCTTGTCCCTTAATCTGTTTGGAACACGTCCACGGGTGAGGCGCACACATCTGCTGAGAATTTGTCCACCGCCCAACCTTTCCAACGAACGAATTGAGAACAGGACAGTGATGGGTTTCTCACCCCTGACTATATAGAAGGGCTTCAAGGCAAAAGGCTTGTGGAAAGGGAGACCCTCTGTGACGACTTTCCTGAACCCCTTACAATAACACATACAACACTCCATGTGTATGGAATATATATATATATATATATGTGCCTACACTGACCCCCCCACATACAACACTAACCGTCGTTGATCTATTTCATCATAAGCATAGATTTGTATACAGTATATATCTCTGGTCTCTGGCGCGTACACTGCCCATAAACAACTCGGGGGAAGCACCCTGTGTATACTCGTTCGTGCTTCCGCGTGCGGTCTCGAGACTCATGGTCTTCCTGCCAGGCCGTGTTCGGATCCCTGGACTCCAAAGATAAACATGTGAAGAATAGCAGCAGCGATGGAGACCAAACTCTCTGGAACTAACATGGTTACATGGATGGCGCCCCTTGGAAGTGGACAAGGCCTGGACGTCCATGGAGACACATTCGCTATGCATGTTCCGACACATTGATTACATACACGTTGCTTAGACACCTGACCGTATGCACTCCGTTTGCACCAGGACTTTACGAATTAAAAACAACAATCAACTTTAAGGAACTTATGAAAGTCAGCGCAACTACCTGGTTTCTATATGCAATCATGCGTGTTCAACATCTAGTGCATCCCATGGTCGCTTATCACGCACGGACATGCAGGGACCAGGGTTCCTGGCACAGAGATTCGTGTGTGTTCCAGGCGTTGCCACCTGACCCATTGCCATGCCTGCAACTGCAACACCCACCTCACTGTTCAATTCCGAAAGGCTGCTTGGCTTGCGGCCGCGGCCTTCCTCGCGTGAAGAGCGATCGTCGCGACCTTCGTCACGGCGCATCGCAAGCGTCGGACGGCGACGAAACTGTGTGGGGATGATCATCCAATTCATTCTCATGCCATGTATTGAAATGCACTACAGGATAGACAACAACAACAACAATCTGTGCATGTTAGAGAGCGCCTTTTAATGACGACAAAATTGTGACTCTTAGTTGCGGAAAAAATATCTTAATTGCGAAACTGTGGCCCTGGATTGAAAAAACACAAACAAGAAGAATCCGGCCACTGAATGTATACCATTTCACCTTCACACACAGGGCACCCCCGATATGACAGGCAATAAACATACTTATTGTGCAAAATCACAGCCAGTATATTCTTTGAGGTCAAAGACTGCTTAATTGCCAAAATCAATTTCCCAGCATTGACCTCAAAGACTGCTCCCGTTGCATTTTTTGCCCCGCGAAACTCACAAACAGGACGTTCTTTGAGGTCAAACACTGCTTAATGGCCAAAGTCAATTTCCCAGCAGCATTTGACCTCAAAGACTGGTCTTGTTGCATGTTTTGCCCCGCGAAAATCGGAACCAGTACGTTCTTTGAAAAGGACTGTTTCATGGCCAAAATCAATTTCCCAGCAGCACTTGACCTCAAAGACTGCTCCCGTTTTTTGCCCCGCGAAATTCACAGCCAGGACGTTCTTTGACAAAGACTGCTTAAGGGTCAAAATCAATTTCCCAGCAGCACTTGACCTCAAGGACTGCTCTCGTTGCATTTTTGGCCCTGCGAAAATCACAACCAGGACGCAGGACGTTCTCTGAGGTCAAAGACAGCTTCCGTTGCTGTTTTGGTGGCAGGCTGGATGGGAGGGTGACCTCAAAAACCTGAGGTTGTTTTCTGGAGTTGTCTTGCTAGTGCCTCACTGCTTTGCAGTGCGTGCTCGCATGTTGTCATGCTTACCTGGTGACATGCTGCCACGTAGCCATGGTGCGGTACCGCGGTCTTCGTGCTTGCCGGCTGGCGCTGTACCACTAGGTGCCACACAAGGCTTGCGAGTGTGCAGTTCTTGTCTCGCATTGGACCCTTTGATTACGCTTGGGGACGGCATGACAGCAGGACAAGGGTAACAAGGGACCGGCAGGAAGCCTCTTGCGGGACTTAAACCCAAGAAGCCTCTGAGCAAGTGTCACTGTTTTTCCATCTTCCATGGAAGTTGGTCCATGTTTTCGCTATTAATTAAAATCTTTGTAATCTTAGTAATCTTTGTATCGTAATCAAAATCCTTGCTTTCGCTATTAGTATGTGTTTCGCTATTGGAAGGTGCCCTACCTACATCTGTGCATCTAGAGAGGACAACACAAGGGTTGAAGAACCTGGGATTTGGAGGAGAATCGCAAAATCATATTGTCTGAGACACACAAACGTGAACATATCAAAACAGTGGACCATTTGTATCCATTTGATGACGTGAAACACGCGGCCGCATGTCTCCCACCACGCCCCCTTCTCTTGCACGAAAAAGACCAATCGCGCCCGGAGCAACCCTCGTCCCAGGAGCGAAACATCTTCACCGTGGCTGTCTGCGACTTCTTCCAAGACTTCTTTTTGCGCGCCGGGCACGGCGTCTGCGACGGCGTCTGCACCTAGAAGAAGAAGAGCACAGCCGAATCCGCACAAAGCTCTGCTGAGTTCTTTGGCTGGTTTCGGAGGGACATCTGGAAGAAATTGATGTAAGAGGCCATCGAGATTCCGATCGCGATCAGATTTGGGTCAATTCAGGGGATTGGGCCTTCTCAGCACCAAGCCGTCCTGCCTCCCAAGACTGCCATGCATGGCGCTCCCAATGCCGCGGCTGCGCGCTGGTGGCCCGCTGTGGAGAAAGCTCCGCATGGGCACCGGCGTGCTCCACCTGACGATCCTCCCGAGTGGCACATGATGGCTTCAGGTGGAATGTGAAATGGTGGATCATCATGACCATGGTGCTTCAACATCTTCAACCCCCTCTTCCCATCCTCCCGCATGTGGTCCCGTAGCAATCTTTGATACTCACCCTTCCCCTACTGTGAAACATGGTCCCAAAACCCGGTCGAGCAAGTCGTCTGCCTGCTCCAAAGCTGCCTTCTGAGCTTGGCAGCGATGGACCGCTGTCTCAGCCGCCCAACCCGCAGCGGCCGCCCAACCCGCCGACTGTGATGACTTTGGGGCAGACCAGGCGACCTGGTCGGAGGTTCGGAATTTCAGGCGTTGGTGGCCCTTGGAAAGCGCGAAGAGGACGGGAAGGAAGAGGTGTTTGAAAGGCAGAAGTTCGGCGAAGCATGTAGTGCTGGAGGTGAGTCTAGTAATGGCATGTGCTGGCTGGCTGTCACTCAAGCCGGTCATTCTGTTCCGGAAAACTTGCCGAACGAGTGAGCATCAAACTTTCTGTCATGTGGGAATGTCGCTACACTGTCCAGCTTTCGGGTCAAAGGCGTTCTTGGAGCGACAATCTGTTGACTTTCTTCAATCTGGTTTCAACCCAAAACCTCGCAAAGCAAACGGATGGAGGAAGTGTCCATCGGATGAGCCACAAAGGTGAAAACATGAACTCCTTGCTTGTTGCTTCTGGATATTGAGCTTGCCCCCCCCCCAAAAAGAACGACTGCATATACCAGCACCCTCCAAAAGGTGTCTATAAATAGCCTATGGTGAAGAGGTGTCCAAAAACCACCGGGCGAACGGAAGGCCCTGGTCTAGTTTCATGTTTCGTTGATCACCTGGTCACCTCCGTCCCATCTATAGGACTACAGGCCCGAAGAAGGTTCCGCAGTCCGAAGGCTTTCGGATTCGCCCGCCAGCTGAGACTTCCGCCTGTGGCTCTGCCTTCTCAGGTGACCCTATCCTGGTGCCGTGCGATGCTGCACCAGAAGACTCTCCAAATTCGGAGCTATGGAAGAACATGCCAAAACCTGTTAGACAAATCCCTTAGACTTGGTATCCTTCATGAAGCCACTATAAACCATCCATTTTGGGGTCTTGGTGGTAGCTTATGTTGCTAAATGCTGTTGTGAAAGGACTTACAAGCAAATGCTTGAGGAACAAAACTAACATCCACTGAACTCAACAAGACGTCCTAGTCCAATCCAAGAGTTGCTTTCACAGGACTGGGGACTCCTCTAGCAGGGTCTGGGGTCGTATGAATTTAACTCAAAGCCACACGAACTTGCGTCTGTCCCCGCACCTCAGGGCCCTTCTACTGTAGCACTGTGGAGTAACTGCTGGACCCTAGGGCTCCATTCGTACCTCCTTAGAAGGTATTTGGACCCTCTAAACCCACCCCAAACACCTTCTAAGAAGGTCCTTGGAGCTCTAGGGGGCCCAGAGTTTAAGAAGGTGAACAAAATTGAAATTGTGTGTAGCTAGGAAGTAGGACCAATATGGACCAATCTGATCAATCTGGACGATTCACCGATTCCCCTACGTCATCCTAATTACACCAGATCGGGGGCAGATCTGGGCGAACCCTTTGGACACCCCGTGACTTCCGTCACGGAAGCGCCTCGTGTCAGTGTCAATGCTGCACCGCTTGGATCTGAATCGCCAAGCCAAGCAGCGGGAGATGTTGTTCCGCATCAAGCCAAGCCTGTGCTCCGGACTTCTGGTCCAAGGATTCGAGTCGAAGTCCTTCAAGGCCTCTCATATGTTGCGCCATGTTGCGCCCGTGCACGCTTTTAGAGACCATGCGAAGCTAGGACATCTATAGACGGCACACTGGGCACACCTCTCACCTTTACCACTTGGTGGTCAAACTTGGCATGCCATCCTAGAATGCAAACAAAGATCCAATGTTGACAATGCATGTACATTTAATAGGTTCGGCTTACCTGCTTATAACTTAGCAAGCATCATCATGCCGTGGCGAACACTGTCATAACTGGACCACAACTCTTGGGATGCTATATCCTGTGCGAAGTTTTGGCACAACAGAACTTCCAAGCACTGCCAGCCTGCCAGCAACCACTCAAAATGATGCCCCAACTCGCGAAATCCAACGTGAAACATGTAAATTCCGCTCACCTTTCGTGCAACTCAGCTGGTTCAACTCTTCCTTCGCCCTCAACCTTCAATGCTTGGCGCCATCAAGCACCACTTGCACTCATGGAAGAGCTAACAGTGGCGAAGCTCAAACCGATATTTACATTTCAATGTTCAGAGTCCAGAGCATGTTTCTGGCAAATCTGTGAACGCATTGACTATTAAACGACTTCTTAGGTACCTGAGCCAAGGGTTCCAATTTTTTCCTGATGAAATCCGATCAACGTCTCACCTCACCCCATACTCGCGCACACATCGAATCAAACCCCCGTTGGATGCATCAAATGATCTGTCCAATCAGGTCACGTCCGAAAGCTCACCGGTGAGGGTGTGGGCATCTCCTCCGGCTTGGGCATGGTCCGCCGCTTTGGCGTGGCGGGCGGCGATTCCAAAATGGGCTCCAGGTGTTCGGCCAGGCACAAGCTCCTCCATCGAAGCACATCGGAACAACCATCGGAACAACCATCGGGTAAGGCTCATCACTGATCCAAAACTTTAGAACATGCCCTACCAGGGCTGAGAGTGCACATTCTAGTCTGATCCAACCCCTCTAGATTGCCAAAATGATTGGCCGAAATTCCTGGTGCCCTCGGGAGGCTGCAAGGCAGGCAGCTCCTGGCGGGCAGCTCTCGTCGGGAACAACGGATAGCTATAGAGGCAACAAGTGAATCTGTTTTGACCATTGTGTACAATTAACTAACAATTTTACAAATAATAGATTAATATTTATATTTATATCATCTATATGATCATCTTTGCTTATTGATCTAATGAGTGGATAAGCTTACAATTGTTGAACATTCCATGATGGAAGGGAGGGGCACGCTCCACGTCACCCATGATTGATGCTTTGCAATTGGACGAGATTGTTGCGTAACGCGTGACAAGGACATGGCCCATCACGGCCTTGATCATCACTGATCACTTTCTCTGGATCCGACAACGTCCTTTGGACAAAAACCCGAGGATGTTTCTGATGCTTGATGACATTATAGCCGGGAGTCCCGAGGCGGGAATCATGAAGCTGCAAACCATTGGCGTGTGGGCGACGTTCACGCCTGGTCCAGGGTTAGAGTTAAATATTCAGGTGTGACTGGAGTCATGTGCCATTAAAGTCCCCCCAAAATAAGCTATCAACAAACATATATGGATATTAATTCTGGATGATAGGTTTAGATCTACTGTAGATCTAAATCAATTTACTGTCTCTGATCATGGGGCACTTTCCGAAAGAAGAGCCTGGTGACCAGGGGTCACTGCTGTCGTAAGGAGGGGGTGTTGCTCACCTGAAGCTGCTCTCTGTTTCTCTTTCTTGAATGGCGGATTCGGTCCAACTCTGCACATTCCAAGTCCCAAACGACCGTCCTGGATGGTTCTTGAAGCATCTTGAAGCCCCTATGTTTGGGCTTAAAGCCTTAAACCTCAATGCCTTAATGGGTGACTGGCGACGAATGCCCTTGCGGCAAATGGATTCAGGTGTCCTGAGCGAACCTTGCAACCACTAAGAACTCATGGATATCCGAAGGCAAACAGGGGCTGTCATACCTGCTGATATCCTCGCATCACATCTGATGGGTTACAGTATACAGTTTTGCATATAGCGACCCTTTTACCAAAAAAAACAAACAACACCTATTCTTACTGGCATATGCACTGGACACCGTTTCGATCTCTTTGAAGCCTTTGGGAGACCAAAAAACATAATATAATAGGATTACCAGCGGGTGGGAGGCGGGCGGGTGGAGAATGAGATATATCATAATGTGTCAACCTGCTGAGTGCCATTAAGCTGGAAACGAGGCTGATCACTGGTAGTGCTTAGTGGGGCTTAGTAGTGCTAAGGCCTAAGGCTTCTTAAGCCTTGCCATTTACCAATCCGATCTCGCCAATCCTTCTCTCCTGGATCTCCTGTGCCGCTTGAAGCTGCGGGTCGCTCAGGAGGACGCACCACAAGCCCGGAGAGACCTGCACGTCTCTGATGAGCGGACGCACGTCCAGTCATCCACTTGGACGACTGCAAATGTCTGATGATGTCTGGTGGATTTTCATCTCAAACATTGGATCAGTGGTTTCAGAGGGAGTAAATGGCACTGGCACCCACCCCAAGATGTCCTATGTCCAGATGCAAGTCCATAAAAATGGATCACCTAAGATGGGGGATAACGTGCCATCTACTCTGAAATCATGGCATTTGCATGGCACCCCAGCCCCACCTGGCGCGCAGCCAGGGGTACGAAGCCTCCACAGGCGTTGGTGGCGCAGCTGGCAGCGGACATTGCATTGTGCAAGTCACCGCAGCTGAGGCCTCCACGACGTGCTGACCATCTGGAGGCACCAGTTTCTTGTGGGTTGTCTTGGGTTTGCTGTCAAACCTGGCAAGGTTTGAGAAAACGAAACATATTCCCCGGGTGTGGGGATCATGTCATAGGGAATATAAAAAGTCACCTTAATTAAGCCCTACCAGGTATATAATATATACATGTGAGATGACATTCCCCCAGCTCCAACCACCTCCTGACAAGGTCAAGGGGTTCCCGGGGTGGCCTGCCCCGGGTCGCGCGGTGCCAACGGGGTCTGTCACTACCTTCGGATGTGGACATGTTCCCCTGGAGATTCTCGCGATCAAACGCAGCTCCCCTCGGTCGACCGTTCAACCGTCAATCCGTGACGTGCATGAAAAGGATGGATGCGAACAAGGCATGGACAGCAATGCGACGTGACTTCGGGCGGCATCGTGTTGGATCTATTTGAAGGTTGTGTATTTAATAAGGGGACGCCCAACTCATGGGTTTTGGGGCTTTGCTTCTTGTCTAGGCCTGTGGTAGGCCTCTCCTCTCCCCCATTTATGCCCAACCAATTGAGTTTTGATCTAGGATCTAGTTTCCTTCTTCCAGAGGCTCTTTGGGAGGTCTCCCTAATTTAATGACGTCTCGCTTCAGTACATGGGAGGGAAAGCATATGCAAGCTGATTCGCTGTGTTTGCTGCTCACACCATATGTAGCGCGTAGAGGTGCAACGAGAGACTGAGGGACACTTGGAAAAAATAACATCAATGAACCCATGCTGAGATTCCCTGAGTACTTTCTCTTGTCACTTGTGACTATCTCCAATGACGCGACTGGGTTGCACGCACATTGGGACCCTTCCCTGCCTGGCGCGGGCATAGGCATTGGAAGCATCTGGAGGTTTGGCGCCTCCAATTCCATCATTGCCTCTCCAGCCATGGGCCCCATGGGCACCGGCATCATTGGCGGCATTGGCCACGGTGCCGCCGGCGCCATCATGACCGGCCCGCCGAGTGCGCCCGGCAGCGCCAGCGCCAGCGGCGGCGCCAGCGGCGGCGCCAGTGTGTCTGGGCACCAAACGGGCGTGGGGTGCCAGGCCATGGGCAAAACCAGTTGTTCGAATTCGGGATCCGGTCGCGAGGTTGTGACTTCCGTGGGAGTCACTTGAGCCACAGGAAAGACATGCAAGGTGTGTCCACGGGAGACGCCAACGAAGAAAAGCTCGATAGATCTCGATAGCCATAAAAGGTTTCTAAGATCTGCATCATTTAAATATGGAATTTGGTCAGGACTTCTTCCATCAAAAGGTGTCATTGGATGGGATTGACGTGAAACAAGAGCATTGGGAATCATCCACTGTAGAGCTTGCTTCTCTAGCTAACTCCAAACCCTCGAAGGGCTCATGGAATGAATTGCAAACATCCCCCGACTGGAAAACTCTTTGCTCTTTCATTGCAAGAAGCGTAGTGTTTGTGTGTGTTTGCATAATGAAGCACAATCAAGCAGCAAACAACTTGTCGCGTTCTTTTTTCCAAAGGATTGAAATTCAATATAATGCAAAGACCTGGGATGGGTCAAACACTTGGAACCCCAACGGTCCTTTACCATGTAGCAAGGGTAAAAAAGAACAACGACGTCGGTAGGTCGGCCAAGGTGATGCCCTGGCGCCGATGTTCCCCCCCGGCCTGGCCCGACGCCCAGTGTGTTCCGCCTCCACCTGCGACCCGAGAGCGGTGGAGGAAGCGCGATGAGCTGAGCCGCCCAACAAGGCGGCCCAACCAGGGCTGCAGGTGCAGGAGTTTCAATGCAAATGGCCCTTCAAGGTAGTTAGATTTTCATCTTGATCACTACAAATGTCCCTTCCCTGCCCTGGCATCGAACCACAAGCGAAAGATCTCAGCCTGACGCTGGCTCCTTGGCACCATAAAACCCGCCCATCGGCAGGCACGCGAGCTTCGGGCACGGTGGCTCCGGCGCGAGGAGAAGGCGCACAGGTTGGAGAAAAGCCTGGCATCTGCGCCTGGGAGAGGGGGCCGAACTCGACGCTCGTGTAAGCCAGTTCCGCCACCAAACTGGATAGACAAAGTAGTTCCAAAATTACCAAGGTGTGGGTTTTAGGCAACCCATATAGGGACATCCCTACTCTCCAGACGTCCAAATATGGTTCAATGAGTCTATTTTCAGGGCACTTTTCAGGGCATAATTAATTATAGCTGGGCCGTATATTTCTTTTCTCCGGCATTTGGTCACATCTAATCTAGTCGGCTTGTGCGGACAAAAAACAAAACTGCACATCAACAATATACACTAGTGAGGACCTTGAAGTTCCATCCCACTGAGCTGCATACAAGCTTGCACTCTTGGATTTGGTGAGTTTGACGGTTTCTACAGTGACTGACAAAATCAAAAATGCAAAACCCATGCAACACACACACACACACATATATATATATGTATATTATATAATATGTCCAAGCCTCTTGGGTCAGGCATGGCCAGTGCATGCTGCAAGTGGAACATGCAAGAATCGAACATGTGTTGGAGGTACACGTCGGTAGCATCAAGCAACTCAGGAAATTTGTCCAGGAAGACCCCCAACATGACCCCGTCGTTGGCCTCTTGCCACTGCGGTAGATCGATAGATAGATAGATAGATAGATAGACAGATAGACAGATAGACAGATAGACAGATAGATAGATAGATAGATAGATAGATTAGATAGATTAGATAGATTAGATAGATTAGATAGATTAGATAGATAAGATAGATAAGATAGATAAGATAGATTAGATAGATTAGATAGATTAGATAGATTAGGTAGGTAGGTAGGTAGGTAGCTAGATAGATAGATAGATAGATAGATAGATAGATAGACAGACAGACAGATAGATAGATAGATAGATTAGTTAGTTAGTTAGTTAGTTAGTTAGATAGATAGATAGATAGATAGATAGATAGATAGATAGATAGATAGATTAGATAGATAGATAGATAGATTAGATTAATAGATAGATTAGATTAATAGATAGATAGATAGATAGATAGATGTAACCTATCAATTTTAAAAGGCCACTGACCGAAATGGTATTGGAATGAAGCACGGCCTCACCAAACAAAACACCCAACCACGCTCTTCCACCTTCGGCGGGACTACTTGGGCAGCCTCCACCCATGTGAGGCTTCTTCCGGAAGAACTTCCCATGGAACCGGCGCTTCAACCGGTGCAGCTTCTCATGGAACCGTCGCTTCTTTTGCGGAAGGATTACCCCCTTGAAAACGCAGGGCAATCTGGAGTTTTCCCCCTGGGAATTCCAGGAATGATGCACTTCACTTCACCGCAATGGCGCATTCTCGGGGGGATGTGATCAGTTGGACAACATCCTCTTTCCAGCCTAGTGCCTCTCAGTTTGCTCATGATCATGTGTGACTTCGGCTTAGGAATGTCGCATACTATAAGCTACTCACAGGCTCGCATCCTTCTTGATTCGGCATGTTTCGTTTTTTTGCGACGTCTGGGTCTTGCGGACTTCGCCTCAGGTCACCGGTGACTCGAGACCAACAAAAAACACATCCACTCGGACGAACACATCACATCCAGATCCAGCGGAAAACTCATCCCCCCCCCGGTGGTAAAGGAAAGCAATCAGTCCGAAAAAATGGAGTGTCGAACCGCTGATTGAACCCGCTCCATCCGAGCTGGTCCGGTTGTAGTCAGAGCAGAATCGTTTGGAAGGTCTGAGTGATCATCGGACTGAGGGGTCGGGGACTTTTCCAGTGGAAGCTCCATAGACCATAGACTATTGACCTGCTTGAAAACTTGTCGTGTTGTAGTGATTCACCTGCTTTTCAGTGGTTGGAAGGGGAATAGGTGTATGAATTTATGGACATTTCATCCATTTTTATCCATGTTCGTTCATGAATTTGTCCTGGAGCAAGAACGCCCCGGGCCATTCCAGTGCCGCACGTGTGGAACTAGCAACTGGAAGCGAGTGCCCCACTCCGACATCGGTATGAGAGCATCTCTGAAAGAAACACAAACATGGAGCAACCATCATGGATCACACCAACCACCGTGCACCTGTATCCACTTGTTGTGTTCGCCTATTCCTTTTCAACCAGGGTGCTTTGCAAGTCACCATTGGTCATCACCTCACTTGCCACTGCCCCGTATCGCCGCTCAGCATGCATAGCTCTTCAAGTCTTGTTGAACATGTTGAACTCAGTTTACTAAACACTAAAACCCACTAACACCTGCTCAAACAATGATATTTTTGGGATAGCATGTGGTGCTGGCTGGATCATTCCCTGAAAGGCTAGGGCATGCCAAGTTGGTGATGGACGATGTGGGACACACTTTCCTTGGCGGAATGTATGCACGTATTATACGGGCATGGTATTATTCAATGTCTTTCCCATGAAGGCAACTGCAACCAAGATACAGTGGATTGAGAGGACCAATGGCACAATCCCCATATAAACCAAGTTCACCAAACATCCCCTCTTGCGCTGGCCAGGTTTACCCCTCGATTGTTTCTGACCCGGCGCCCAAGCTTGCAGCTTGGAACCTTGAAACAGCAAAGCCCCACAAACAACACCATGGAAACACACACAAACACCATATATGTATGGAGTCCTTCTCTAGTGCACCTATGAGTCAACGGTCATGGCATCCTAATTAATGAATAGTCCACATGTCAAACACGAACCTCAACTGAAAATTCCACAAACGGGTGGTTCAGACTTTAAAGTGAGCGGACATATGACACATGTGCTGCTGTCAAACCTCCGTTCTCAATCTCATGTCATCACAGTAAAACTCCCCCGTGGGACCGTCGGATTTTGCGATATGTTCATCCTCCACCGCCGTGGCGCGCTGCGTCGTTCGGGTCGCCGGTCCGAACCGACGACGCCACCGCATCCTTTGACTCGACGTGGGTCGACTGCGCTGCGTCGGGGGTGCTGCCCTCGGATCGACCTTCGGCGACGCGGAGCACGCGGAAGTGACAACTTGGTCAAGGTGAATGAGACACGGCGGGATGTGTTGGATACTGTGTTGGATATATATTTTAAATATATATATATTATCCCGAACACTGTAGCAATGCATGATGACGGTTACAGTACAGGCTTTTTTTAAAGCAGTAAAACAGTGATATTTGATGATATTTGTTTGGGACACTCCCATTGGATGTACTCGATGTGTCTTTGTCCTTTACTGCGGTGATTTGAAACGGATTTCGCACGGTCCTAGTGACACGTTCCGTCGCAGAAAAAGGAGCGGAGGCCTTGCTGCGGAGTGCTTTCCCGTCGCCGCTGGGATGATGCAACAAATGGCAATCGTATCAAATCTCTCTTGGCTCACACTGATTTATGGAAGTGCTACAAGGATCTTCATGTCTCACCTTCCCTCCCCACAAAAGCGGACAGCGTCTCCCCTTGGAACAGTTTGCTCTACTATTGGATGAACATTATACTTATAATATGATATATTTCCAAGAACTTGCCTATCTCCACCATCCAGGATGACGATGATTGGGGGGTTGGATTCGTATAAGCTTACCAACTATTCGCAATCGAATGCAAACCCGTGGTGTTACAGTTCTCAAAGGATAAACGCACTAAAAAAAAGAACATTCCACCATGTAATTTGCTCTAGGATTCCAACCACCATCGATTTATATAAGTGTTCTTTGTTTTTGGACAACCACCTATAAACAAATGGAAAGCGAGACCAACGACAACACCGCGAACCCTTCGCAGCCTTCGGGCGTGCTGTCTCGCGTGCCGTCTCGCGTGCCACGCCGCATCCAGGCAAAGATCGAGCCTGGGGCTCCGGTCTGAGGGACACACACAGTTTCATGCAGTCTGGGGACCGGAACATCGAAGCTTTGAGGTTGGCTACGTGACAGTTCGACCAACTATAAAGACCCATATTATAAACCTCAAAGGATATTGTAAATGCGTGTCTTCACATTGCGCGCGATCCTGAAGTTCAGGGCTGTGTCTATGAGACTTCCGCAGCCCAAACGCCGCCCAACCACCGCAGTGTTGGTAAATATGCAAGTTCCACTGCCAGTTCCACAGGGGTCTTTGGGAAGATTTGGGAAGGGTCTCTGCCAATTGCCCCATCTTAAGAGTTTTTCTCCGTTGCCCGTCTCCACCTGGGCTGGAAGCCACACGACCATGCCCCACATGTGGCCCACGAA